AACTAATTTCCCAAGCAATAAGGACACCCTGTGCCTATCAGTTGTACAATTACACACCGCTCAGTAAACATTCACAAGCCTCCTGCTGAGTTTCTTCTGCATGTTGTGCCCATTCTCACATACATTTTGGAACTGAGAAAATAACCTCTGAATTTATCTTTGCTTCTTCTAGATCTTTCATGAAAGACTTCTGAGCCAAAACTATATTTGACTTCCTTCCATCTCTACTAAGATTACTGGAATCCTGGTGTGTTAAAATACCATTCCAGGGAATACTGTTCAGGCCACTATCCTCCAGACTGTCTGAGAATTTCACATTCCTCAGTTCATAGGACTGAGTCACAGGACTCTCTGGAAATAGCCTCAGGTAAGGGACAGTCATTATATGTAACTATAGGCAGAATCCATCCTCAAAGAAACCCGCCTCCCACCCCTTAACTAAGAGATTCCAGGCTTAAGACCTAGCTTACACCCAGATGTTGGATATGCTATGCATCTCTATTACAGTAACCAGTTCCTTTTCTGCCCACCATTCCTAAAATCCTTCCACTCACATATATCAAGTAGCACTTAGGTGGGCTATGGGTTTCATTCATTCCAGAGATCTGAGGATCAATAGGTCACCACTCCAATCCCTTGTAGTCCAAATACCTTGACTATCCCTTCCTCTTGAGGGTTATCAATAGTAACTGTACTCAGCATGTACTTGATAGTCTTCTGGCCTCTACAAGGATCTCCCTGTGTTACTGTGGCAACATCTCCAACCTACTGAGGACAGTCACCAGAGAAGTTGGCAAGAATATTTCTGTTCTCATTCAGTGTCCAAATTGGGTAAATTCTATGAGCCCTGCCAGAAGAGGTGTGCACAGAGCATAACTGTGCAGGATGAACACAGTAGAGCATATGTCAGTCTCCTTTCTATCACTGTGACAAAACACTTGACAAAAACAACATAACACTTAACTTTCAGAGGTTATGAGCTATGGCTGGCTGGCTCCATAGTTTCTGGTTGTGTGGTGAGGGAGGGTATCATGGCAGAAGAGCCTGCTGAAACACAGCTGCTCCCCTCATGGCAGCCAGGAAGGAAAGGAAAACAGAGTATGGGGTTGCACAATCACGCACACACAAGCAAGCACACGTGCCCATACGCACATACACAGACATACATATACCCTTCAAAGATATGTTCCTAGTGACCTGCTTCCTCCAATGAGCTCCCACCTTCTATAGTTTTCAACACACCCAAAAGTCCATTTGAATTTTGACACTATAAATGAATCAATCCATCAGTTACGTCAGAGCCCTAATGAACCAATCGCTGCTGATTGGATCTACCAGCTATGAACAAAACCTTCCATACTTGAGCGTTTGGAGGTATACTTCATATATAAAACACAGTTCAACATTTCCCTCTTTCTGAATCTATAGAGCCTTTCCTTTACAATATATGAGGAAAAATTGGCACTTCCATCTAAAGATTCTAAGTCATTGTAGTGGTTTGAATGAAAATGGCTCCTATAGGTCCATATGTTTTACTACTTGGTCCCCAGTTGGTGAAACTGTTTGGGAAGGATCAGAAGGTGTAGCCCTCTTGGAAGAGGTGTGTCACTGGGTATTAAAGTTAATTTTATAAAATTATGCTTGTTTCTCAGTTTCTCTTTTAACCTGGCTATCACCCAAATAATTGAGACTCTGTTGTATTATTTTAACAAGCTTCATAGCACAATACAATATTACTTTTTTTATAATATGATTTTTTATTTATTACAATTTATTCACTTTGTATCCCAGCTGTAGTCCCCTTCCTCATCTCCTCCCAATTCTTCCCTCATCTCCTCCCATGTCCACCTGACCCTAGCCTATCAGGTCTCATCAGGACTGTCTTTCATAGTCTTCCTCTGTGGCCTGGTAAGGCTGTGCCCTCCCCCCCCCCCAGGGGGAGGCGAACAAAGAACCAGCCAGTAAGATATTCTATTCTTAACCCTCTAAGATAACAAATCTAAGGAGCTATTTGTTCAGTCATATAAAAAATACATCATACAACTAGTTTACATTGAAAGATGTATCAAGAGTTCAAACTGCAGCTGGGCACACCTTAAATGCCACTTGGGACGAAGAGGCAGCTGGTCCTCTGTGAGTGTGAGGATTGCCTAGTCTGTGTAGTGAATTCCAGGCCAGCCAGGACCACACAGTGAAACCCTGTCTCAAACAGCCAAGAGGGGAGGTAGAGGGGTGTATCGAGAGATTATATTGCTAAGATCTGTATGTTCTAGAGACTGTGTAGCCAGGCTAGCCTTGGAACTAATGAAGATCCACTTTCCTCTACCTCCCCGAGGGCTGGGATTAAAGGCCTGTGCCATCACACCTGGCTAGCTTTTAAAATTTTTATTTTTGATACAATTTATTTATTACTTGCAGTGGTAGGTCTTCTGCCCTGGTGTGGGGTGTGTGTGTGCATGCGTGTGTGTATGTGTGTGTTGGAGGACAACTGTAGGTGTCGATTCTGTCTTTCCATCATGTAGATCAAGCTCAGGCCATCAGGCAGAGGCAGGCAAATCTCTATGGTCTTGAGGCCAGCCTGGTCTACAAAACTAGTCCGGGATAGCCAAGGCTACACAGAGAAACTCTGTCTTGAAAAACAAGCAAAAAAAATTTTAAAACCTAAAATTATTTGTATATCAAGTATTATAGAACACATATACATATGTCTGTATATATATGATATATATGTGTATATGTGTTTTGGGTAGAATACCTATTAAGTCATGTTCTTATTCCTTATTTTATCATTATAAAACTGAGAAATTTGTAAGAGTTCTTTCAACTCTTGAAACCTTAAAATTATATGCTTAACTGTTTTTAAGACACAAACCAAGCCTACTCACAGTTTGTTTATAAGTACATTGAATTTGAATTTCTTTACCAACCAACCTACGTCACTGACCTTGTTAAAATTAACTCAGCTAGTTCTGAAAAAAAAAATCTTTAAAATTCTTTTGGAGTTAGTATAAAGCAAATGTTTTCCTGTTTGCATCATCTGTGGTACAAGTAAAATAATGATTATAGCAGACACTATTTTTAACCAGCACAGACTCCTGTCTTTCCATGCTATCCGTTTCTTGGTTGATGGTCAAAGCATATGGATCTACCATTACTGGAAACATAAAATATCTTCACTTGTGACCTCAAACTTTTTATTACCTAAATTAATTTTAAATATTGTGTTTCTAGAATAACACACTTACAGGGCTGTCAGAGGATATTTACCTTTGTCTCAAACTGGGTACTCAAGAGTTTCTACTCTGTGAAGGCTCACGAGGGAGATTTTTCTGAGGTCTGACCATCAAGAAAAGATATGTCTCTCAATTAATTCGTTCGTCTTTATTTCAAAAACAAACAAACAAAAACCCCACTCTCAAATCTTCTGCTTTGGCGCTTTTTTTTTTTTTTTTTGGTTGCATTGTTCTGGTTTCCTGTCCCCCCTCCCTTCAAATCTCATGTAGTTTCCTCTCACTTATTTTTATCTTGTGTAAAAATAAGTATTTTGTGTGAGCTGCCCTGAACTCCCCACGGGATAATGCAGGTGTAAATAAGAACAAGCACATTTCAAGCTAGAGAAAGCATCGACATTCCCTTTTTGACCCTGAACTTGGAGGGCTGCTTTCCCTCGCACAACGCCCACCCTCCACGTTGACTTGACTATTCTGGGGACAGTGTGGTGGAGGGTCCTCAGCCCAGGACAGTAAACAAGTGCTAAGACACCAATAGAACATTTGAAGAGATTTTGAGTCATCCAAGCCAAAAGTATGTGCCCACCAAAACAAGAGCCAAGAAGCTTTGAAAGAAGGAACTGTTCTCCAACTTTTTTTCTTCAGTGCAGCACAGACATAGGCTTTGTCCCTGGAGCATGTAAGTCTGGGCTTACTTATGTTCCCTAAATAAGTGCTCTTTGTGTGTGGAACACAAGAAAATGCATATATTCCCTGATCTGTGAAGGTGTTAATTTAATTTCTTCATTTATTAACTATAAGGAGTGCATTTCTCAAAACAGAATTGGATTGTGTCTGGGGCCACATGTCATCTGAAACTTGTATTATTGTAATTTTTTTCAGTCACTAATCACACAGTGGCTGTGTATTTATCTGTTTTTTCCAATTTTTCATAAATTTTTATTTAATTTTATCGTTTGCCTACATGTATGTCTGTGTACTATGTGCATGCCTGGCGCGTACAGAGGCTAGAAGAGGGCGTCGGGTCCCCACACCCACCCCTACTTGGAGTTACAGGCTGGTGGGAGCTGCCAAACTGGTGCTGGGAAATCAATCCAAGTCCTTTGAAGAGCAGCCAGTGTTCTTAACCACTGAGCCATCTTTCCAGTCCTTACCTGGTTTTTCTACTGAAAAATCTCTGCAAGATTCTTGAGTTAGCTTTACCAGTATATATATAAATTGGTAACCTAATTTCTACCTTAAGAACAAGACTGGCACTCAAACTGCAAAACGGACTGAAACATTACCTATATCCCTTCTCAGGACTCCTGCCCAGCATTTTAAAACCTCTCACGTTTGATAATCCTCTCTACAACCCTGTAAAATGATTTACAAACATTTCTCAGGTGTCAAATACAAAACCTATCCTCTTCCTGAGGAAGGTGTTGGCAACTGAGATGTTGCCAAGTCTGTCTTGTCCCAGATCACCTACTTTGGAGCCAGAAGCAGACTAACGACCCTGGGTTTGTTTTAGGATCTCCAGAACTCCCGGTCCCATCAAAGTTGCAACAATGCGGTGATTACCCCTAGACCACTGGAACTTCGTAGGAATTGGGGGTTTTCAGAAATGGCTTGGGAAACCCCGGTGGAAGACAGGTTGTGCAGGCGTGCGGTCCAGCCTCAGAACTGGTACCTCCGGGAACAGTGTGTCAAACAGGAAGGTGCAGTCGGGTGTGCCGGCGTTTACAACCGGGCACTCCCCGACCTCCTTCCCGGGCGGCCTCAGTTTACCTTGACTGTGTGGAAGCAGGAAGGCAGCGCTCGCACAGCCTTCGCACAGGCCCTCCTCCACCTCCTCCTCTCGTCCCTCTGGC